ATTGTATTTCTCGAGCTGTCCATCCCTCGGGTACTCTCAGTCCTTTCAGACAGTCCATGATAATCAGTGTCCTGATGTGATCAGCCAGAGAAGATTAAAGCAGACCAGCGGCCWTGTCCCCAGATGCCATCTTTCCGTACCGGAAGTAAAAGTCTCCTGTCTGTTAGCCTGCTCTTTTTCTTCACCCTGTCATTCAGGCCAATCCAGAACATGTGTCCCATTAAACTGGGGTTTGCCTGCTGTGTGGTTTGTTAAACTGGCTTGTGTGTTGACCTGATGCTATTTTTGTTGCTCTGTCTACTACTTATGGTACCTTTTACAGCCGTAGAAGTTGGCACTCTTGGGTTGAGAACTATTAAGATTGGGATCATGTAACGTTCAGTTCTCCTCCTATTGGCAGAAAATAAATTCTCTGCCGACTTCAGGTCGTGTTTGTCTGCTTCACTGTTGCATTTAGATTAGATCTCAGCCCAGACACAAGCTGAGCCTTTTAAACTACTTTACCTTCTTTTGTTGCCAACTCTCAGGTTCTGCTTCATCTCTGGGTTCTGTCACACACTGCTTTACTTGGCTTTTTGCAAAATCAGCTCAAAAACAGAGATTATAATTTTAAACTCACAAGCTCATTTGCTTCTTTACAAAACCCAACACAGTGACCTAATCACAAAATCCTAAGTCTTTAAGAATGAGGGAGCATTACAAGGCAAGCAGAGCGTAGATATTCACCGAGATTAACGGAAAAGCTTTGTGCCCTGGTCCACTTCAGTGTGTGTTTGCGTGTATGCGTGTCCGTGTGAGTGTCTGTGCTCATGCATGTGTGTGAATGTGTGCATTAGATAAAAAGATTATTTGTAGCATGTAGGCCACACACACTTTCTCACACTCTTCTCTTGTGCTGCTTGGACCTGGCACTGCCAGCTGGGAGGTTTTGGTTGGATGAGACGATCATTGTAAGACGTTATGAACACACTGCTGTTTTGACTAAAAGTATCCACTGTGACTAAGATGTTGTAGACATTCATTGTGTGCATTTCTCTATGTGATAAAGTGACAAAGATTTGATTGGTGGGCCATCATAAAGTGTCTTGACCTCACGTGTATAGCTTTAAGAATGAGGTCACAAAGAGCTTGAATCCAGATGTTGTAGGAACTCCCCTGCAGAGCAGAACTTCTTAAAGCAGGACAATCACACACAAGCTGCTGTCGCTTATCTGCATGAAAGCTGCAGATTGGTCAGAACTGAAGAACAGGGTGGAGTTTTAATAGCCCTGCACATTCAGACTGGCAGAGCTCAAAGCTGTACCTGCTTAGGGGAAAAAACATGTCCCCAGACTAAATGTGGGGGATGTGTGGGACCCCTTTGACTGTTGAGGCAAGGAAAGTAGAGGTGATTTTCATGTGGATTTCCTGAAATGTAAAGGAACTCTCTGAGGAGCTTACATACTTCTGCGTTGTAATTCTGCTGTGGTGAAACTAAAGAATTTTCATCAACTCTGAAGGGATAAATATGGCAGAAAACTCAGATACCAACACAGTGATRTAAAGGTATGGGCTGTGTTTCCCCTCAGTGATGATGCAATTGAGAGTATCTCTGTTTGTGACTTGGTCATGGTGCTATTGTTACTTCCCAGTGTACAACTGMAGTTTTTATATACAGACAGTATTCCCATGTCAGATTTGAGATGATCTTTTAGCTTAAAATATTACATAAATCAGCAAGCTTTCCAYKCTTATCTTTAAGTTGTTAAAACACAGAGATATTGATCAGGTTTGACAGCTTAATGCATCCAGAGTGTTGTGAGTGYGTCTCTGATGGAGGCAGTCTATTGCTGCATTCATATATCAATAAAGTATGATTGGAGTTACATTTCTCCTGGTCCTAACTGCGGATTGGGATATCTAGTATGTAGAGTCGTGCTCATGTTAAGATYTGCAGGAGCTCATTAGCTGCAGAGTAGTGTTTTGCAGGGACATTTTTTTTCTGTCCTCTCTGTTCTGATCCCACAAAGTGTCTCCAAACAGCCACAGCCTTCACACAGAGCGCACATGGCTCACTTCACCACCTGCTGTTGGCCTCAACACAAAGAACAGCCTCACTGGTGTTCAGCAGTCACACTTTAAAAGACATTCACGTGGATAGGATGAGGTGAACCAGCCAATTGCTGTGCCAATTCCAATTTTCAGTTTTTGTACGGCTGATGACACTTCTGATTATTTGACAAACGATTTGAAAAACATTTAGACTAGCTTCTTTATCTGATTATACCTCATTTTTTGCATGTTTCAAAACTTGCGGCCATATGCACACTCTCTCCACCATGCACCAACTTACTGAAAAAGCTGCCATGTGAAATGATTGAGGATTTGGTTTCAGTGCTCCAATAGGTAATCGTTGGAGCCTAGTTATAAACGACCGTGTCAAATGCATTTCCTCTGGAGCTGAAATATGCTTTCATCATAGAAGATCAATAACTGCTGTATAGTTTGCTGTATAGTTTCTTTATGGCTTCTGGCGACTTCTGATTGCATTTCCCATGTCGTACAGGGAGCATTTAAAGAGGGCTTTCCCCAAAGAGCTGCTTTAAATGCAACAAATCCTMATCCATCAGCAGTCTGTCAGCCAAACACACTACCTCCATCCAAAACCAACAAAGCAGCACATTCAACCACCATTTTGTTTAGGTTCTGGTTTCATGTCCTTCCATTGTTTCTGTGAGTCTGCATGGGTTAGCCTTAAAGGTTTTAACCTCAGCATAAAGCATGCGCCACTTCTGTAATAAGCTTCAGCTTTCTTTTCTTCTAAAGTCTGTTTGATAAACTTTGAGTACAAGGAGTAATTTTTGTCTCAGAGGTTGTTCAGCAGCCTCTATGACAGCTTATTAAAATTTAATAAAGTTTCTAGTTTTAGGTCCAAACTGTATACACAACACATAGCACTGTGACCCAATTGTTGTTTTAGTTTCACTTTCCTCATTAGAGCTGACACACAGGACATTCCAGGAACATACATTCGCACAGTTACATAAATCTGAATATTTTTACGTGTGTGCACATTTCATATTCTGTCAATGTGCCAACTTTTAGTATTAAAGCTGTGCATTCTTTCATACATGAGGCCCTCGGTCACCTCAGCTCTCAGAACAGATGAAAATAAAAGTCCTGCTGGGCCTTTTGAAGATTAAAAAAACACCATGTGTGCATTTTTATCAGAATTCAAGGAAATACCAAAGACGCCAGTGCTGAAGTGAGATATGTCACTGCCAAAGACCCAATGTTTTTGTCCACATTCCATTCTTTAATTTTCCTCTGTCTAATTTATTTGGTTCTGTTGAAAATACAGAGAAATGTTATAAATAATGTGAAGGAAGTCTTTAACGTAATGTGAGGAAGTCTTTAAGTCCAAATGTACTTCAGCTGACTCTGTTTATAACATGATAATAAGTGATTCAGAGGCTCTTACAGTCCGACCTGCTCTGTTTAACTTTAAACTGACTTCACTGTGGTTTCACCTGATCTGAAGCTTCTTCAGGTGCATTTTTTGTCAGAAACAACTTCTTTAGTATGATCTGACTCAGGTGTGGGAACTCTAACTGGTTCATGTCTCAGATGAGACTCTACTGTGAGTTTTAGTGATTTAATAAAAGCTGGTGAAATTGATGTCAGCGTCCACTGGGTGTTGTTCTATTCTGGGAAGTTTGTTTTCATAAACTTTATACACTTCAGAAATGTGAAGGGAGAGACTTTAACTTTAGATAAATCAGGCCACAGTTTAAAATCATAGATAGGCAGAAATAGTGTTTCCTCTTTCTGCAAACTTCAAACCTAGTTGTTTTGTGCTGATATGTTGTGTTGTTTCACCAGTCAGTCATGTTCTTGACCCACAATGGTCTACTTTTGTTTTTCTTTTGGCTCAGGACTCGTTTTTTCTGCTTTGAACAGCTCAGCTGAGGAGAAGAATATTTGTTTGTGGAGTTATTTCCTCTTTAGTTCCACTATCTAATGACCTTAAATTATAATAATCTATGGTTGTATTTAAATTTCAGCTGTATATTTGTGGAGATGAATTTGAGTGAGAAACACAAGAACCCTGTTCAGTAGAGATTCGATTAGATTAGATTTAATCTGGATTGTTTTATAGTTTGTGTTATAGTTTGTTTGTTTTTTCGTTTGGTTTAATCTGTTTGATTTTAAATGAGAAATATAGAATCTGTTTTAAAATAAAATTTCATCTGTAGCCCAATTTTCCTAAATTAATTTAAGATAAAGCCAAAGTATGTCTTGTGCTGATATTATAGCCTTTTGATTCATAGAAAAAAAAATGTTGTACCATCGTCTTGTTTTGACTTGGCTTTTCTTCCAAAGAGGTTTTTAAGAGCTTAAAGGAAATAAAATCCACTGCCTCACCTTTGGGTTTTAAATGTGGTGTAACCTGATCGTCTGAAGTCAGGTCACACTTCAGGAATGTCACTCCTGACTTTCTTTAAGAAAGTTAAAACAAGTAAATATAGTTTTTAACCTATTATTTCTCAAATTAACTTAAGACTCACATTATTAAAATCAGCTGAAGATGCTTTGTGACGTTTTAAAAAGTTGGAAGTTCTTTGTTCTCTGTGCACTTTTGTCAAACCTGTCTGTTGTTGCACTTTGAGTTAATGTCATTATTTTTAGTGTTTTATCCATCCAAAAGAGGTTATATTTGTACATGTCTGATGTCACTTTTTGTTAGATTAAACAAAAACAGACTGAAGTGTTGTGTTCAGAGTGCAGCCTTTGATGACACGAGGCTCATCAATGCTGTTGATCAGTTTCCTGAGGCGCTGAGCGGCTCGATTCAGCTAAAGGACACAGCGTCCTCTGGGTCGGTGGTGTATAAATGCTGGAGCTGATGTGCTCCCCTCACTTCTGCCTGCTGGTGTCTGCATGAGGAGCAAACAGTAAAGCGAAACAAAGAGGCTTTGCTTTCTGATTAAAGGTAAAACAGCTGGAAACTTCAGGTAAATCTCTGCCTGCATGGAGGAAGCTGTTTTATCATCGTTATCTCTGGTGTTAGAATAGTTTGTGCTTAATGTTGCTTTTGTAATAACCTGTGAAACTAAATGTTTCTCTTCAGTTTTATTTGAAATCAAACAAAAAAATGTAGTTAATTTCAGGGTTGTGGAAGGTGTGTGGTGTTTTGTAGGTCACAGTACATTTCATGTTGATCTCAGTTAGAACAGAAAACAAGGTCAGTTTCTCCACTGTTAATCTGTTCAATTTAATCTGAATCTATTGGCTTCGAAGGGAGGACATTGCAAAAAAAAAAACTTTCAACATGTTTAACAGATTCATTTGAACCAAATAATTTTCTTACCATCAAGTAGTTTTGAGTTGAAATTGTGATTTGCTTTGATGACCAGTAGCTGGACCTGACCTGGTGTTAGTAGAGTCTGGTTCTCTTTAGATACTGAACAGAACAAAGGTGTAGTAGTAATAAACATCAAGTAGTCCACTGATATATTAGAAAATATGCTGTCTAAAGGCTATCATGTACCCCTCATCCTCTGTATCAGTTTAATTATCTAATTCACCTGCTGAAGGCTTCTTTAATCTGTTTTCATCTTTGTTTCTGCCTGATCTGGACACATTCTTTCCTCTTGTTCCTACCTCTTCATGCACCTCATTTACCTTCTGTGGACTTTGGGGGGTCTTTTTCCTCCTTCACATGTGTGTGTGCTCCTTCCTGGCTGGAGATTACAGAGTGCAGCGTAGCCCCCTTAGCAATGGAGGACAGTGACCACGAGCCTCCCTCTTCATCAGRTGAGGAAGACTCCTGCCCATCCTCTCCTAATCAAAGCATGAACCATAACGCTGCGCAGGTATCACCTTGGCTCTGTTTCTGTCCCCTTCTGGATTTTCTTTTCTCTGTTTTTCACTCTCCTCCTCGTCCTCTGCTGTGCCTCCTCCACCCTCCTCTGGTCTTGGTGTTTCTAGCATTCGAGCCATTCAGACGACTCTGAAGTGGAGAGCATAATGCACGAGCCCCCGCCACACGGAGAGCACGACCCTCACCAGCATGGCCTGGAAGCTCACGATGCAGACGGCCAGGGCCCAGACCGCCCCCACACCCCGTCTCATCTGCGACCCCCCACGGCGGGTCGGGCCCACTCAGATTCAGGTTCAGACGGCAGCCTTCCACAGAGCAGAAGTGTGGAGTTTGAGCTGCCGTCCCCCGTCAGTCCGTCCAGACCCAGGAGCCCCTGGGCTCTGTTTGACCCGTACAACAATAACGAGGTAAAACCTGTGAAAAGGGAACCAAGAGAGGAGAGAACGAGCCGTTTAGTTCTGCTCTCAAGGCTGTGAGCTTTAACGTGTGGTTTGGACTGATGCTCTCCATGCAGCCGTCTCACATTGAAGTCCAGAACAAAGATGTTCCTGTAGTTAGCAGGATTGATTGATCTTTGATCACTGTGGAACCTGATGGCAGCGTTGCTTTTTACTCTTGTCTCACTGACTTTATCTTCAACCAAATCTTTTGGAATTTTAAAATTATTCTGAGTGTTTTTATGCAATTCTTAAAAAAACTAATATGAATTTATCTGAAAGGCCTTTAATCTGTGTTTACTTTTAGGATCAGGACAAGGAATATGTGGGCTTTGCAACGCTACCAAACCAGGTTCATCGCAAATCTGTCAAGAAAGGATTTGACTTCACGCTCATGGTGGCAGGTAAATCCTTGTTTGTACATTTCTGGACATTCGATCTTAAGCCCACCTTGTTTCTTTGAAGAGAGTACTAATCACAGGTTTTTAAGCCTCACTGGTTTTTCTCTTTGTTGATCTTTGTTTGAAGGCGAGTCTGGCCTGGGAAAGTCCACCCTGGTCAACAGCCTGTTTCTCACTGATCTGTACAAAGATAGGAAGCTGCTCAACGCTGAAGGTGAGGGAAACGTCTTCTCGAGCTGTTTGTTTTGTGGTAGACCAAAAAGAAAAAAACAAACTGAGACCCGTTTCTGTGTTTTTCCAGAGAGAATCACACAAACAGTTGAAATCACCAAACACACTGTGGACATAGAGGAGAAAGGTGTGAAGCTCAAACTCACCATTGTGGACACCCCTGGATTTGGTGACGCTGTAAACAACACTGAATGGTACGTTTTTCACATCTCGGAGGAATAAATTCCCCTCCGGCTAAATGAAAGCTGATATATTCGCTGCGCCGTGGTCGGAAAGTCACACGCAGCAGCTGAGCCGCATGAGGTCTGCAGCGCCYGAGAGTCTGAACGTCCTTGTGTGTTTGTGTCGTAGCTGGAAGACGGTGGCTGACTACATCGACCAGCAGTTCGAGCAATACTTCAGGGACGAGAGCGGCCTCAACCGCAAAAACATCCAGGACAACCGAGTACACTGCTGCCTCTATTTCATTTCACCGTTTGGTCACGGGTAGGAGCAAACTGCAGCTTGCTCCAGTCAGACTGTCCTCTATRATCTGAACATGTTTAACCCATTTCTGTTGTATTTGTAAAGATTTAAAATGACGTTTATTCGCAGTCTTTGTCATTACTTCACATCACTGTTGATCCAGTGCAGTGCTTTCACACTAATCAGTTGTTGAACATACAGTACTCTGTAACMCTGCAGTTCATTTGAACCTGACAGGTGAAGAAACTACTCTCTCTGTTGGTCACGCTCAGTCATCACACTTCAGATACACACACAGTTCACTGTTAGCTTGAAATCTTCCTGGAATAAAACCCTCAGGTTTTTAATGCACATCACCATCAACTCTGTGGCTTTGTTGCTGTATAACCAGGCCATAAATGACATATTTATTTACTGCTGATGAATAAATTCAATTCAAATTATTTACATTGCTGCGTGTCAATTAGCTTTTATGGACTTTTGTTCACATTTTTAAAGCACATTACAAGCRTTACATGGAACAGTTCCTCTCATAATTATTTAATTATTTTCATCTTCTGTGACAGTAAATTATAACATRGAAAACCATGATGTGATTATTTGAGAGTGTGTTTCACCTCTTCCAGCCTYCGGCCCCTGGATGTTGAGTTTATGAAGGCTCTGCATGAGAAGGTCAACATCGTCCCCGTCTTGGCCAAAGCAGACACACTCACCCCGAGCGAAGTGAAGAAAAAGAAAATCAAGGTAAGACGTGGCTGCGCGTGTTTAACCAGAGGAAACAACAAACAAACAAACGCCGCCCTTCGTCTGGGTTTTACATCCAAAGTTTTTGTGTGGCGATCGTCTCCGCAGATCAGAGACGAGATCGAGCAGTACGGCATCAAGATCTATCAGTTCCCCGACTGCGACTCTGATGAAGATGAAGATTTTAAACAGCAGGATCTGCAGCTGAAGGTGAACAGTTCAAAACAGCTGAAGGTGAAATGTTCAAAACAAACAAATTAACCTTACAGTATCACCAGRATAATTTTTATTGATTTATTTTAGAATGTCAGGTGAGTGAGCTGATTGTTTTGTTTAATTTATTACTGAAGTAATTAACCAACTTAACCTGAATATACAGACATGTGAGATTTTAAAGTGTTAAAGAGTTAACTTTGTTCACACATTTGGTCAGAGCTGTGTTCACTGCAGACACACACAGATGAGTTCATTTCAGTGTTTGTGTTGGCAAAAAAATATATATTTTCTTCCAGATTTTCTAAAGGAGCAATGAAAAATATTAGGAAACACATTTTCTAGTTTCAGAGCTGTCGGTATGAGACAGGCTGTCCTGATGCTGTTGGCAAATGTTTATAATTTATGGATCATTTCTGTTTTGTCTTGAAGGAAAGCATTCCTTTCGCTGTAATTGGCAGCAACACGGTGGTGGAGGCCAAAGGGAAGCGGGTGCGAGGACGTCTCTATCCCTGGGGCATCGTAGAAGGTAGTTGCAGTTACTGAGAGTAAACACACAGCACCTGGCAGGATGTCRTTTCAGGGTTTCTTCTGCGTTTCAGTGGAGAACACGGCGCATTGCGACTTCATCACGCTGAGGAACATGCTCGTGCGCACTCACATGCAGGACCTGAAAGACGTGACCCGGGAGACCCACTACGAGAACTACAGAGCCCAGTGCATCCAGAGCATGACCCGCATGGTGGTTAAGGAGCGCAACCGCAAGTATGTTCACACGCAGCTCGCTCACTATGATCTGAGCAAATCATGAAAAGAAAGATTTTAATAAATGGTCGAGTTTTTCTAGTATTTGATTGAATGATAGTTTATTCATTTCGATTAAAAAAACAAACATTTCAATACAACAAAAAAATAAACACAAATCTCATAAAATGAAAGGAAGCAGAGGAAAA